CCCTAGTGGCCAGGCGGGTGCTGGTAGCCCTGTTCAGCGGCCCTGCTAATCTAGAGGTTTGAGGAGAGAGGTGGTGGGGGAGGAGGGAGGGGGGTGGGGTGCGCTTCCACTTCCTTCCACATTCGCCCCTCTGCCCGCACTGCACAGACCATGTGGCAGACCCCTTAGGTCTGCCACTGTTTTCATGCACGATTCTTGAACCAGCCCCGCTGCCCAGCTTGTTATTTCCTTGCTTCTCCAAGTGGAACACAAACACCAACCATCTGCCCCTACTCTGGGTTCCTTCCACCTCCTTGAAGCCGTGACATCTACTCCCACCCAGTCAGAGTCAGCGTAAAGTACACAGAATTACTTTATCCTCCCCAGGGTAACCCGTGAGGGAAGGTGCCAACTTCCTGCCATTACTCCTGTCACTTGTGATTAATTCATTCAATATTTACTAAGCCATGCCTGTGCTAAGCACTGGAAAATAGAGATGTATTATCACCTCCCTGACGCAAAAGACTGGCAACTCCCATACACACTGCTGTGGCTCTCTAACCAGATTTAATGTCCCAGCATCATGAGCTGAGGATCTTAGGGATCAAATCCCTTCTCCAGCCTCTCCAACAAGTGCTAGTCTAGACTGTCGAACTCCAGTATGAGCTCTGGGCAGCTGTTCACTGCTGCTGCCACTTCCCTGCATGTCTCCACGTCCCCAGACACATACCTCTCACTAGTGATGCCTCAGGGAGCATTCTGGGGAGAGACTTGAATGCCCACTGGACCAGCAGCTCTTAAAACATGGTCCTCAGGCACAGGGGTTCCCGAGACCCTTTCATGGGTCCATAAGGTCAAGATTATTTTCATAGTAACACTAAGACGTTGCTTTCCTTTTCCAGCGTCAGCATTTATACTGATGGTGCAAAATGTTGGTGGGTAAACTGCCTTAGCACAAATTGAGGCAGTGCACTAATAGTCATTGTATTCTTACCACCATGCACCAGCAATTTAAAGATAAATGCTAGTAGCTTCACTTAAGACTGTCCTTGATGAAGCAGTGAAACCGTATGAAACCTGTTCCTTGAATAACAAGTCTTTTCAGTATTCTGGGGAATGTACTGGGAAGTAAGCACTGAGCCCGTTTGCTGTGCACAAGAGCATGACGGTGTCTTGAGGAAAACACTTAGCTGTTTTTTATTTTGTGCTGTCAGCTGAACCAGCCACCTTTTTCACAGAACTCCACACTGACTTGAAAGAATGATTGGCAGAGAGACCATGATTATCAGACCTGGGTAGCAGGCAGAACTTTTCTGAAAAAGGAACAGAGTGAGTCTGTCAATTCAGAGAAAAACCTGGCAGTATTTATCGCCGATGATACAATGGAGCTTTCAAGCGAAAATCAGAATTTTGAAAATGTACCTGCCACCATGAGCTTCACAACTTAAAGTTCTCAAAACTGAAAACAGACTTACCTGTTAAAACCAGTCTTGATATTTTGGAATGTGATTTTTAAAAATAATGTATACTTAAATGTGCCAACATTTGGAACACCTGCATAGCTTGGTGACTCAGTATTTTCCAAATGACCATGATGTTACAAAATTATCCCTGGGTAAAAGAGCCAACCAAAGTGCAATACAGACCAAAGGAATTTAATGTAAAATAATAAAAAAGTTTATTGATAATGGTTTCAGGTTTCACATTGCAACTAACCCTTAAGAAACTACCAGAAACTATCTTTTCCCACATTTCCAAGTGAGACTAGATTTTCTTCATATATAGTACTTCAAACCAAAATATAGCAAAAGAAAGCCAAGTGGGTTCTGAAAATCCAGCTGTAATCTATTAAGTCAGATATTAAGGAGATTTGCAAAAATGTAAAATAACATCCTCACTAATTTAGGGAGGTGAATATATTGTTTGTGTATGGGCTTATTTCTATGAATATTTTTAAATTTTCTCAGCTCCCATTTAAATATGTTAAGTTGGTAGATATAACCCACTTGAAATGCCACTCTTAATTTCTAAAAGTGTAAGGGGTTTTCAGACCAAAAAGTTTCATAGCTGCCACACGAGACCACGAGTTCCTCTAGATCCGCATGGTGTTGGTGTCTTTGCACACCTGGAAACCGGTGCCTAAAAACTCACCCGGTGAACACTTAGCAAGTGCCACTTCTATGCCTGATGCCACTCTAGGCATTGGGGGTTCATAATTGAAAAAGTCCCTGTTCTGGAGGAGACAGACCAGTGGAGGAGACAGACAGGTAGAAGAACAGTTAGACAAGGGCTCTGACGAGAGTGACGGGAGCCTGCCCCGAGAGCACACGTGGATCAGATGGAGAGGGTGGGAGAGGAGGTAGCCAGGGGATACTTCCCAGAACAGGCACTTGATCTAAATCTTTAAAACCTGTACTTGAACAACAATTTAAAAACAAAACAAAACACCTTTAAGGCCATCAGATTTCAGCTAAGGGAAGAGCATGTTAGGGAACAGAGACAATGCATAAAAGTGGAAGAAGCTTTAAGAAAAGTATGGCTAGCCCTGGAGTGGTAGCTCAGTTGGTTAGAGCATCACCAATGTCCAGTCAGGGAACACACGAGAAGCAACCAATGCATGCACGAGTAAGTGGAACAACAAGTCTCTCTTCTTCTAAAATCAATAAATACATTTAAAAAGCTTTTTTAAAGCATGGCTCTTCACAGTGCCTACTTGAAACAGTATGAACAGTATGAACACAGCATGAAGTCCAAGCCTGTGTATCAGGGGTGGGGCTGGGAGTGAAAGGTGAGGCTAGAATAAAGTCGAGACTGTAAAATGAATGCATTTAAAAACAAGAGATAAAATAAAAGATTTTTAAAAGAGGCTAGAGAGGTAGGCAGGGGCCGAAACAAAGGGCCTTCAATACCATATTAAGAAATGTGGACTTCTATCCTCAAGGGAGGGAGAAGGGAGGGAGAAGGGAGGAGTTAGGGAGGGTTTTAGGATCGCATTCGCACCAAATTTTAAAAAGAACTTTGGGCCCTGGTGGCTCAGTTGGCTGGAGCGTGGGAGCACCATCCTGTACACCAAAAAGTTCTGGGTTTGATTCCTGTTCAGGTCATACCCAGGTTTCAGGTTTGATCCCCTGCTTTGGGTGCCTATGGAAGGCATCAGATCTCTCTCTCTCTCTCTCTCTCTCTCTCTCTCTCTCTCTCTTTCTCTCTCATTTATGGGCATATCCTCGGGTGAGGGATAATAAAACAAAACTGTTGGTTAAGGGACTCCTCCATTAAAAATCGTTTTGGTAGCAATGCAGAGGACTATTTGAATGAAGGAATGGGTTGGAGAACTAGGAGTAAGACCACAACAGACCCAGCTAGAAGGTAACAAAACGAAATGCCTAAGGCAACCCTCGAGACCCTGGAGAGGAACCACATTTGTAGGAAGTACGATCTACTATTTACAATCTACGATCTACGGAATTACGTGGATGTGGAAAGTGAGGAACTGGGAGCGCTTGACCATGTCCAGGGGTCAAACACTGGCTACAGGCGGATGGAGGTGTCTCTCCTGAGTTTTGGGAAAGCAGGGAGATGGACGGGAGTTAACAGTACGAAGTCGTGGATGTTCCATGTGTAGCAGCTGACAGCTGAGCAGATCTAAATACATTTACGAGTCCCTCCCCGCCTCCGGGCCGGGCTTCCACGGTCCCCACCCCCAACCAGCAAAAGCCAGGCCTCCCACCCCTCTGCCCCTGGGAAGCTGGGCAAAGCGCTCCCTCTGCCTGGTCTCCCTCACCTCCCCCGAGGCGGCCCCCCACTTCCTCTGCCCCGCCCCACCCCGAGGAAAAACCAGAGCAGCCCCGCGCCCACGCTTCAGACTTTACGACCCTAGGACCCGGTTCTGGGGACTGTTTCTTGCGGTCTGGTTTGGAGGAGGCATCGCTCCCTCTGGTCCCGACGCGGCAGCTCAGCTCTCCCAGCCCGGCCCAGCCCAGCTCCGCCTCCCCACGGAGAAACATCCCAAAAAAGGGCAGAAAAGACATTTCGGCTTAAAGCTGGCCCACAAGGGACGAGAGGAGAGTCTGCAGAGGAAAAGGGAGCAGGGAGGGCGCGCAGGGCAACAAGGGAGAGGGGAAAGTAGAGGGCGACTGGAGACTGGAGACTGGACAGGGGGTCGAACTCCGAGGGCTGGGTGCGGGCGAGAGAAGGGGTGGACAGGGACGCGTCCCGGGTGGGGTTGAGGGCGGCCGGCGTGCGTGTACCGCCCAGCCGTAGCCGCGTGGAAAATATGCGGGGCACGTGGGGGCGGGGCAGGAGGAGCGCGGAGTTGGGTTCCCAGCCGCCGGGCGACTGTAGAGGAGGGGCCCTGGCTCCAGGGACCGGGGCTGGAAGGGGGAAGCGAGGGGAGGAGAGGTCAAGCCCAACCTCGGGGGCACAACCCGGACCATGTTCTGCATTGCGACCGGGGCAGCCTCTGGGCTCCGCTCCCGCCTCAGTTTCCCCAAGTCCCTGGTAAGGCTTTACGTTATCACTACCACACCGGTAACGCAAATCCAGAGCCTGGGACTCAGGGTAAACTGAGGCACTGGAACCAGGGAGGAGCCCCGCCTCCCAAGAGACATTTAATCTGGGGGGATTTACAGGAAACTTCTAAATTAAGGGCAGCGGCTGCTGCAGCTGAGGGGGGTGAGGGAGCACTCGGGTCCCTGTGCCGGCGCAGCTGCCGTGAGCTCACGCCCCGAAATAGCCCTAGGGGCCCCAGCCGCAGCTGCCGCGGGACCAAGCTGTCACTCAGAGTCAACGCGGAGCCCCCCGGCCCGAGGGTCCCCTCCCCTCCCCAACGCTGTGTTAGGATTTTTTAGCAGACAGTCCCGGCTACTTTCCCTTCCGACGGCTAGGGGGAGGGGAGGTAAGAGGGGGCGGGGCCTCGAGGAGGCGGTCCCGAGGGGGTGGACGCAGGGGGCGACCGCGCCCCCCGTCCAGGCTGTGCTTCTGCCCCTACAAGGTTTTGGCCGCGGTGGGGGAGGGTCCCGGCCCCCGGCTCCGCCCGGTCCCTCCCCGCCTTTTAGACGCTCCAGCGGCTGGAACATCCCAGTCCAGCTTGGTCCTCCTCGCTCGCCACCCGTGCGCCCAATCCGCGCAGCCAAGCCCATTTCTCCCGGTCCGCACCGCCGCCAGCCGGCCCGTCCCCCACCGCAGCCATGGACGCCATCAAGAAGAAGATGCAGATGCTAAAGCTGGACAAGGAGAATGCCATCGACCGCGCTGAGCAGGCCGAGGCCGACAAGAAGCAAGCTGAGGACCGCTGCAAGCAGGTGGGGGCCCAGGGCCTAGTGTAGCCCTTGACCCACCCCACCCCCAACGAGTGGGGTAGGCCCTGCTCTGTGTCCCCCATCCTAGGGCCTGCTCTCCAAGGCTCTCTCCCGTCCAGTGTGGGCACTGGGCCTTCACACCACCCCCAGGGACCTAGCCAGAACCACAGTTCCTAGCACCCCATGGCCTGGGGAGCCGCAGTCCTCCAATTCCACTCCTGCCCTTGCAGAGCAATGATGGGCCCTGCATCTGGGGGTGGAAACTCTCTACCCCCACCAGATCCCTCCAACACCCTGGCTGCACTGTGCCTCCTCTGCTATCCCTCTTCCTCCCTGACATCCTCTAAATATCTCTTAGTACCCCTTCACACACACACCCTTGTCTCCTCCCTGAGCCTGGGCCTGGCTGACGGAGGGTTCTCTCTCCCAGCTGGAGGAGGAGCAGCAGGGCCTCCAGAAGAAGCTGAAAGGGACAGAAGATGAGGTGGAAAAATATTCAGAAGCAGTGAAGGACGCCCAGGAGAAACTGGAGCTGGCCGAGAAGAAGGCCACCGACGTGAGTGTGCATCTGGGGGATGGCGGGAGAGTCAGCGTGCTGGGACGGGCCCTGGACATGGGGACGAAGGGAGAAGGGGAGCTAGATATCCCAACACCAGGACAGAAATGTCTTCTTCCCGGGAGCCCGAGCCAGCGCAAGCTTGCACAAATAATCCGAGTTAGTGGGTAAATCAAAACCACCTACCGCTTTCCCCAGAGGACACGGATTTGTAATTCCATTTGGCTCCAGCTCTCTGAATGTACAGTGATCCAACAGTGAGTCATCGTGGGGGTGGGTAGTGGGATTTACCATCCACCTCAATTAATCCTCCAGCTGAAAATGGAGAGGAGACTACAGCTACATTTGCAGGGTGTGGGGTGTGGGTGTTGTTAGGCAGGAGGAGAGAGAGGAATATGAACATGGGCCCTGACTTGAGTTACACTCCTGGGGGGGCATTAGAAATTCCCTGGCTTTGACCTCTGGCTCCAGTGGCCTTGCTGTGCACTGGGGCCCCAGCTCAGGTTCTAACAGCCCCTCATTTACCCTCATTAAGCTGTCAGCCTCGAGACCATGCCAGGCCACAGGGCAAAGGGACAGGGCCACAAATGCCAGGGCAGCCACTTTGGCAGGTTCTGCTCACTCAGATTTCTCTGCCCAGCCCACACCCCTAACCAGACTTCTGTCATTCCCAACCCCCACCTTGAGGTAAGGGAACGGTCATATGACTTTGGACATTGTTACTTGTACCATTCTCTGCCTCAGTTTCCCCATTGGCCTTGAACTCAGGATTGTTTAAGTTTAAGAGGACCCTAGTGTTGTGTTGAAGGGATGGGGGGGGGAGGTTAGCATGAGCGTGGTCCGACCGTGAAATCAGAAACGGCATTGCTGTTTGTGTTCCGTTATCCATGTTCCCTGTCCCCTCCCCCCATTCCCACCCTGGGCCGATTTCTCTGACCTCCAACTTTTGGTTTTGGTTCTCTACCAGCCCTGGCACTTGGGAGGGAACTGACCTGCAGCTGCTAGCAAAGACAGCCCTGGGCATCTGACACTCTATAAATAACCAAGGCCCAGTGCAGCTGGAGGCACGACTGGAAACCCAAGGAGTTAGTGGGTGGGGGCTGGAGGGAAGGAGGGTGGACAGGGACAGAGCTGGGGAAGCAGGATAGCAGTGCCAGAGGTAGAAAGTAAATGGCCCAAACTTATTTTGTGACCTTTGGATGCAGCATTTACTCAGTCCCTTCCTCCATTTCTCCCTTCTCTCCTGCTTCCCATTTGTCCCATGGGCACAGTACTGCCTGTCTCAGGCTAGAGAGCAGCGTCCATACCTGGGAAGAGCTTGAAAAGCAGAAAGTGGTAAATGTCAGTCCTGTCACGAGGACCCCAGGACTTCCTAGAGTGATACTGAGTCTCATGTCTCTGTAGAGTAGATACCTCCAACATCCCCATGTCATTGTTCCCAACCCCCAGTGCTGTTCCCAGAATCCTTCCAGACTGAGTCATCTGGCCCTGTGCCCGTGATGGGCTCTTGTCACTGTAGGTGGCCTTCAGCACCTGGAGGACAAGCTACTATTTTCTATATATGGTGCTGTGTTTCCTCCACCCTATAGTACCACCCAGGATGTGCTTTCTACCCCCTCTGCCCTCGGTGCTGCCACCCAGCTCTTTCCTCTCGCTCACTCCTCCCCCTACACTGATCCTTTCTCCTTTCTAGTCTTAAGTCTCAGGGTCTCTCTGTCTTTGTCTCTGAGGAAGAGCAGGGATAACCTAACTTTATGGGTGTGGACTCTGCAGGCAATGTGCTCAAGTACTCTTTGCATATAATTTTATTTCCCAAAATCATCAGAATCACGTGAGATCTTTAAAAAATATTTTCTAAGTTTCTGCCCTGGAGATCTCAGTTCAGTGGATCTAGCAAGGAGCTAAACCCCTGGCTGGGTGGCTCAGTGGGTGGAGCATCGTCCTGTACACCGAAAGGTTGCAGGTTTGATCCCCGGTCGGGGTGCATATGGGAGGCGACCGATCGATGTTTCTCTCTACCTCTCTCTCCCTTCCTCTCTCTCTCAAATCAATGAACATATCCTTGGGTGAAGATTAAAAATAAAAAAAGAAGCTAGAGAACCTGTTATATAATCCTCCTAGATGGTGATTAATCAAGTATTAGAAGTACTGCACTGTTTCAGAACAGACTATGAAGAAGGCACTGCTCTTGTCAACTCAGATTAAAAAGAAGGAACCTGAGGCTTAGAGAGACTAAAGAAGTTGCCCAAGGTCACACAAGTGTTGAGTGGCTGACGGTGGATCAAACACAACCGTCTGACTCAGAGCCCGAACTGTCTTGCTTCTCTCATTTTCCTTTGTTGGGGCCCGCCTTTCTTGGTCTGCCCTCTCTTTTTCTCGAGGTATCATCAGTTTCTGTGGCACTTTTCCAAAACCTCCATGGTTTTGCCTCTCTATTTTAGGATCAGTGCCTGAGTATCCATCACTCAGGCTGCTCTTGCACCGCCCCCAGTTGCTTCTCTGCCTTGGCAGGAAACCCCTGCTATAGCCATGGATGTCCCATGCAGGTCTGGCTTGCCTCCAGAGCCCCTAGCTGGGAGTCTGCCTGGCAACTGGTGATATCACTTGAGCTTGATTATATGATTGGCTATTTTTAACAGCATTGCAGCTCTGGTTGGCCTGGTTCTTCCCCACCCCCTTACCTGCGCCTCGCTCCGCTGTGGAGTCAGAGCTGCCTCAGACTTGGTCCGAGCACTTCAGGTGTTCTCTGACTGGACAGAGGGACCTGCATGTAGATAACTGTTGGGAGCCTATGCCCAGTGTCTGAATTGGCCCTGTAGCAGGGAAGTGGAGCTTGTCGAGGAATGGATGCTATTTGGGGCTGGAGCATCGTCTGGGCAGAAGATAGGTGATTGGTTAGGGGGTAAAAAGTAGGTTTAAATCTGGAAGACAAGAAGCCTAGGGTCTTTCCAATAAGAATCTTACCATCCTCTGGAGCCTCGCTGATCCTCATCCAAGGTAGATGAAGCCTTTCTGGCCTCTAACCTTTGACCCACAGGCCGAGGCAGATGTGGCCTCCCTGAACCGCCGCATCCAGCTGGTAGAGGAAGAGCTGGACCGGGCGCAGGAGCGTCTGGCCACAGCCCTGCAAAAGCTGGAGGAGGCTGAGAAGGCAGCTGATGAGAGTGAGAGGTGGGTCGGGGGGCCTTCAGGGGTGGAGCCGGGGAGGCGGGGGAGGCTGTCTCCGCTGGCCCTGACCCCGCCCCCACCCCTCTTCCTGCCTCTCAGAGGAATGAAGGTCATTGAAAACCGAGCCATGAAGGATGAGGAAAAGATGGAGCTGCAGGAGATGCAGCTGAAGGAGGCCAAGCACATCGCTGAGGATTCAGATCGCAAATACGAGGAGGTGACAGCCCCGCTCTGCTTCCTTTCCACTCCCCAGCCCCAAACACCCCCAGTCTTTCACCGTGGATCTGTTCCTTCTCTCTCCCCACTCCCTCCAGGTGGCCAGGAAGCTGGTGATCCTGGAAGGCGAGCTGGAGCGCTCAGAAGAGAGGGCTGAGGTGGCTGAGAGGTAAGGATACCCCGGGGTGGCAAGTGAAACTCAGCTGGAGCCCGTGGCCGTGGGGCGCTCTGCACAGTGGGGAGGCAGCTTCTCAGACTTGGGGCCATAGGGACAGGTCCTGTCCTCTGACCCCTACCCGCCACCCCCAGCCGAGCCAGGCAGCTGGAGGAGGAACTTCGAACCATGGACCAGGCCCTCAAGTCCCTGATGGCCTCAGAGGAGGAGGTAGTGACCTCTCTGGACCTTTCTGGGCGATGGCACCTTCTCCAATCTCACTTTCCCCTCCTTCTCAGGCTGCGCTCTCTCATCTGTGGGGGTTGAGAAGGGCCTGGGGCTTCCAAGCTCTGCCTGCTGTCACTCTCACAACTTTGCTCTTCTCTTCTCTCCTCCACCCCTCCCGCACTGTGCCATCATCTCCACTGTCTCCCCGCACTGTGCCTTCACACCCCATCCTGCCACACACCCCACTGCAGTAAATGTGGGGACCTAGAGGAGGAGCTGAAAATTGTTACCAACAACTTGAAATCCCTGGAAGCCCAAGCGGACAAGGTAGAGGGGGGCAGAAGGGCAGTGAGGATGGGGTCATGCAGGGGAGGGAGGCGACAGGCCCAGGCAGGGAGGGGCTGGGTGCTCCATGGAGACAAGGTCATGAGTGGCCGGTGGGGCTCAGGAGAAATGAAGGATTTGTGGAGGTGATCTACTAATGACATGTATGTGTTCCTAAAAGTATTCCACCAAAGAAGATAAATATGAAGAGGAGATCAAACTGCTGGAGGAGAAGCTAAAGGAGGTGAGGGTCCTTCCAGTCCCCACCTTCCCCCCAAGGCCCCAGTCCCGACCAGAGACTGCCTGTGGCGGGGAACTTGGAGACAGAGATAGGAGAGAGGGTTGACTTCAGTGAAAGTGTATCCGAGGGCCTCACTTCCTGTCATTTCCACACTTTGCTTTTACTCCCAGGCTGAGACCCGAGCAGAGTTTGCCGAAAGGTCTGTGGCAAAGTTGGAGAAAACCATTGATGACCTGGAAGGTAAAAGGGATCTCCCCTGTACCCCCAAACTGCATCCCCTGTGACTACTGGTCTGTCCCTTAACTTCACATCCCATTATATATGCCCCTGAGAAATTGGGGTCAGACCCCCTAGGACTCCACAAACTGGTGGTCGGTGCCTACTGTTTCAGCACTTGTAACCGGCTACAACTCCAGTGCTCCTCAAACTTGAGCGTGCTTGAGAATTCCCAAGAGGTTTAAAAATGCAGATTCCTGGGCCCTGTTCCGAAAGGATTGCTGACTTTGGGCTGGAGAATTTGCATATCTAACGAGCTCTCTGGCAAAGCTGATGTTGCTGGTGGTCACACCACACTTCAGGTAGCTCTGACTTAGTCCTGTCTCCAAGTGCGACCCGGCAGAGCTACATCACAAAGACTTCTTCATTACACAGAGAGCTATTTGGTTTAATGCCTACGTTTGCAAGACAACGTTAATGAAAAGTCCTATTTTGAGCTAGATTTGATGAAAACAGTCATCCAGGCGTTTGCTAGTCTACAACTGTTTCTCACCACCATCAACACTGTCCCTAAAACTGTCTTTCCTTTCTGCTGTACAATAACCCTTCACTTTCATAGTTCCAATTTCTCTCACTTCCAGCCTTCTCGGGCAAGCCTCAATTTTATCTCCAACTTTATAGGCTTTTAGACCTTTCTGGCTTGAGCACCTTTCCCCTGTAGCAAGCACTCCTGCTTACCCAAAGCACTGTGCCTGCAGGTCCCTAGAGGAGGCGGGATCTTAGGGTACAGAGAAGGACAAAAGAGACAGGGGTACAGGGTGGGGGAGGGAGCCTGACAACCGTCTAGCCTGCTCTCTCACTCATCTTCGTCTGCCTCTCTCTGACTTGTTCTCTCTTGCCATTACCCGCCTCCATCCTTTCCTCTTTCCTTCTACTCCCTCTCCCCACACTCCCACCCACCCCTGGACCCCTGCAGACGAAGTCTATGCGCAGAAGATGAAGTACAAGGCCATCAGCGAGGAACTGGACAACGCACTCAATGACATCACCTCTCTCTAAGCTGCTCACCAATGTGGCCCCCTCGGCCCCTCTGTCCTCTCCTTTCCGCTCTCTCTCTGAGGAGGGGTCAGGCAGGAGGAGCAAAAACTGCCAGCACTATACAGCCAGGCTGGGCGTAGCCTAGGAGAGCGCCGGTCACACGTGCTGCCCACCCTGGCACTTGCTTCTTCCTTCCGGCGATCCACTCCCCCCTCGGCCCACCAGCCTCTACCTCTCTCTGCTGCTTAATAAACTCATCTTGGCCTCCACGCTGTTTCCTGCCCTCCAGAGAGCACTTCCTTCACCCCCGCAGTAGCACTGCTGAGACCTCGGCTCTTACAGACACCCCCAATCTTGGGACACCCACAGAACCCAGTGGCCCACACCGAAATCCCCTCTGCATGGGCACGCCCAGCCTGTCACTCTGTCACTGCTGCATGTGGACACGATATAACCCTTCCAGTCACCATGGGCCCTCTGGTGCCTCTGCAAACCTAGGCCTGGCACTGACCTTGTAGCACCAAGCTGGGGGTCCAGGATCTCAAGGAATGATGGGAAGGGAAGTGGGGTGGTGAGGGGCAGGGGAGGGGTGAGAAGGCTGTGAAAGGTCTGAGAGGAAGCCTGGGAGAACACTGGATGCCAGCACCGTGGGGTTTTCACTGCAGGTCTGTTTTCTGCCTCACGTCTGTCTCCGTCTGCCCTTCCCTTTCCTGGCTCAGTCTTTGTCCTTCCCTCTGTTTCCAACTCTCTTAAACCTTCTGAAGAAGGAGGGTGAATGAGTTTACGAGTCAGGCTTTCCCATCCCACCTCCGTGACCCCAAAGCCTTGAGTGATGTAGCCACGCCTGTCCTGCTCGATCCATCCATTTGCCCCACCGCAGGGACCTCAGATCCGTGAATGCTTGTCTTCGTGCGCTTCCAGCCCGCTCCGTATCCGTTTGTCTCGTCCCCTGTCCGTGCCTCCCCACGTATCTCCCCTCTTGTGTCCCCTCCCCCTCCTCACGTGCTGCTTCCTCTCACAGAGACCTTGGCCAGTGCCAAGGAGGAGAACGTGGAGATTCACCAGACCCTGGACCAGACCCTGCTGGAACTCAACAACCTGTGAGGGTTGGCCCTGCCTCCAGCGAGGCTGTAGTTGCTGCCCAATAAAACTAATGTTCCTGGCATCACAGGGCCCTTTAAGCCTTTCTTTGGTGTTGGCAATGGTGGTGGTAGTTTCCAAAGTGGAAAAGGCTGAGAGGATGCCTGAGGGGAGCAAAATGAAGTTGGAAGGACCCCTGAGTGGGCAGGGCCTGGTTCCATGCCCTGGGACAAGACTTCCTTTTTGATGGTAGCCGAGGGGTGGGGGTGCTGCGCTCCTTTAGGAGGGTTTGTGAACAGGCTGTGTGAAGCAGAGGGGCTGGGGGTGCGTCCTGGCCCCTAACCCTCCAAAGGGCAAAGGAGCTGCCGTCAGCACCGCTGCCCTATTCCAGCACGTGGCTGAGCCAGATGCCACCCCCTGAAGGCAACGCTGCAGCGCTACAGGGATTTTACTTGCACAGGGTGAGAGCCCAAACGCCTCAGTGTGATTTTAAGCCTAGAGACTGAGCCTGCCCTACTCCCAGACACATACACGGGTCTACACACACACACACACACACACTAGACCTTTTCAACAATCTCAGTCATTTCTGCCCCCTTCCTGAGAGCAGAATGTGCCCTCCCCACCCAAGACCACAGACCCTGCCCCTGCGAAATGTTATCTTACATGGGAAAGGGACCTTGTGATTAAGCCAAGGGTTTTGAACTGGGGAGATGACCCTAGGTTATCTGTATTGGCCAGTGTAACCACAGGGGTCTTTCTCAGAGGGGCAAACATGTCAAAAGCAGTTGCAGGAGGTGTGACAATGGACGTGAGAGGTTGGAGTGATGGGAGGCAGGGGCTGCAAACCGAGGGAGGCTTGGCTTCTAGAAGCTGGAAAAGGCAAGGAAAATTCTCCCCTCAGTGTCCAGAAGGAGCTGGCCCCTGATGACACCTCAACTTCAGCCCATATGATTCATTTTAGACTTCTGACCTCCAGAAATCTAAGAGAATAAATTTGCATTATTCTTAAGTTTGTGATAAGTTGTTACAGCATCAGTGGGAAATAAATACACCACCCTGACTTGGGGAACAAAGGTACCTTCCACATATTTTATTAGAAACATTTATTTAGAAAAAATATATTTGGTGATTAAAAGGGGTGTGGTGTAATGAGCAGGCTAGAACAAAGTCTCCAGCACCCTGCCCTCCAGATTCCTCTGGCTGGCTCCTTGCTGCACGTGCTCCAAGTTCCAGGCCTCTAGGCACCAGTCTCAGCGGCCTCGGCTGGGTGGTAGCTGACAGGCCCTTTGGTGCCCCTTGGATGTCTGCATGACAAGGGAGCCTCATCAGAACACGGGCCCAGGGTGAGCCCATCTGCGTGTGACTGGCATGAAGCTGCTCTGGACTCCACGCAGGAAGTGGGGGCTGTGCCTGAGGGAGGGGTTGGTACAATACATACCTTTGCCACCTTCTCATTTGCACAAGGAAGGCGACACTGGTGATGGCAAAGAGAATGCCGAACACCAGGGCCAGGATGTCACCTGTAGGATGAGGAGGGGCTGCCTCAGGGAGTGGAGACGGGGCAGGAGGGCTCCTACCCTGTGTATCTCCCCATGGCCCCGGGTTCTCTGGCATATCTAGCAGACACCAGCAGAGGGGTAGAGATGGATACCCAAGAAAGGGTAAGACAGCCACCTTTTTCCCCCCGAAAAATGAAGTAAAAGAGGTTGTTTGGGAAGGAGGATACTAGGAGATTTCTGGAGGTTCATTCTGACCAACTCTTGCCCTGGGGACAATAAGGCAACACTCCTCCTTGATCAGACTCCATCCTCATGGGGCTGGAGGTCTGTTCTGCAGAAAAGGAGAGGCAGTAGACGTGGTCCTGCCTAGCCCCCGGGACTGAGCTGTGCCCAGCGTTGTCCCCACCATCAGGAGCCAGGGAAGGGACACAGACTCACCAGCAGCCAGGCAGGAATTCAGGTGGACTGCAAAGAAAAGAAGACATTGGAGCCGGGGCTGTGATTACCAGTGACAAAAACGAGGACACGTGGGAAGATGAGGGACTTGTGGCTGGGGGACATGGGAATACAGGACACCAGACGAACCTGCACCTGGCTCGACAGTCTGCTGCGCTTCGGCCGGGAAGGAGGCCTCAATAATCCGCCCATTTAACGGCTGCGTGGCTCGGAAGTTGAGCTGCAGCCGAGAGTCCTCAGGTCCCCACAGGGAGCCAGAGAGGGTGTGGAGCTAGGGAGGTCATTAGACAGTGGAAGGAGGGCTCACCTCATTCTATGCCCCTTTCCCCGTAACCACCACCTCCCCACATGTTCCAGTCCCACCTGCTTAGCACTCAGCCTCACTGTCTGGTTGAACACAGTCCAGATGACCCCTTGGGCACAGGGGGGTGTGGTCAGAGACCCCTCATATCGGAAGTAGCGGCTGAGGTCAGAGGGCAGCAGTGCGGACACATCCAGTCCTGGGACCCAAGTCTCTGAGTCTGCAGAAAGGACCCATGCTAGAATCTCCTCTAGGTATCTCCCCTCCCAAGCTTTGGTGTGCAGGGATACAGTTTCATATCCCAGAAGCCAAACGGACTCACTTCCCTGAGACCACCTCTTCACTAAATGCATCGTTTCCCACAACTTCCCACAAGGCAACATAGAAGAAAGTGAAAGGCTTTGGAGCCTCATAGAGTGAGAGAATTGGTCCTTAGCTCCTCCCTCTGAGTCTTCAGTTTTAGTTTGCACAGTATGATAACATGCCGGATCACAGATATAAGTTCAGAGTAAATAAAAAAAGAAAATGAGCTGAGCCCTGGCTGGTGTGGCTCAGTAGATTGAGTGCCAGCCTGTGAACCAAAGGGCCACCAGGTTGATTCCCAGTCAGGGCACATGCCTGGGTTGCAGGCCAGGTCCCCAGTGGGAGGCGCATGAGAGGCAACCACACATTGATGTTTCTCTCCCTCTCTTTCTCTTTCCCTTCCTCTCTCTCTACAAATAAATAAATAACAAAAGGTCCAGTAGGTGAGATTTAAAATGACCCAGAGTGACTGCGAAGGAAAAGATTTCAAAAATAAATATTTACAAATTTAAAACATTTGACGCTTACGAAGAATAGACAGTCCTCAGAAAAACTTTAGCTCTCTAGACTCAACCCCTAAGTTCCAAACACTATTTCTTTTGGTCTTATTTGGTTTTTGTCTCATATTTTTTGTTTAGTTTTTGGTTTTAAACCACACAACCTGTGGGCAGAAGTTTGCCTTCTGTTCAGCTTCCTAGTTATTATCAAGATCAGAGCCGCCCGGGTCACACATCAACCGTCTCCCTGCGTGGGAGAGACCGCACCTTCATACCTTCCTCCGCAATTTCTTCCAGATGTGACAGTAACTGCTCATAGGCGCTGTTTTCCTCGGGGCCTTCCTAGGAGATGACAGGTGACATGTGTATCTAGGGCTACATCTAGAGGCCAGAAGGTGAGGTGGGGTTCCCACAGTCCCCTCTCACTCCTCAGCTCTGACAATGCTGGGGGAACACAAAATCGTATGTATTATTATTCAAAGTCCATTTACTCTTACTCTGTGAACTAACCTAACAAGTTCACGGGCTCGTATTCAATGGCCAGTTGGAGGAGGCGGAAGGCGGGCCGCTGGGGTACAAGGCCCTCACGGCCTGGGCCCCGCTCCAGAAAGCCGTAATGACTGTTGTATTCATGTTACCTCTGCATCCACCTTAATAATCCGTGTGTTTGCCTTTGGGAGCAAGGACATGTTATTTCCGAGGCACTTCTCTGAACTTTGTGCTTTGAGGCTGGCATTACGGAGTCAGGTCAAGAGCGAGCCCAGCAGGTGTCCCGTCATTCCTCCATTTACTGGCGTCCTTTGATCAGCGTGTGTAGCCTTGATCATTACAGGTCCGAAGAGGACTCTAAGTGTTTCTCTAGACTTTATTCCATCTCACAAAGGGGATGTTATTGTTACAGGGGCATGCGAGAAATTTCTCTTCCTCATAGCCCCTTTATCACACCCGTCACTCCCTCCCTGAGTGGGCCGAGCTCTGCGTCTTCGCGCATACCATCTCTCTTTTCTTCCCCACTGGTGACGTCTTCAGGTTTCACCTCCTCTGAGAAGACCTCCCTGACCACCTCTTCTCCTCTGTCTGTATGTCTACCCTATCAGCCTCCTTCACAGGCTGTGGGCTCCTCAGAGACC